GAACGCTGCTCTCGGGAGTATCCGGTGTTTTGGCAAGGGCAAGATGGGCAGCCAAGAGAATAAAGGTGTGCTGATCTGTGCCAAGGTCAGAGCGTCTCACAGAGGCCAGGATTTGCAAAGCCATGGCATACTAGGCCAGGTTAAAAAAAAAAAAAAAAAAAAAAGTTTTTAAAAAAGGTTTGTAAATGTTTTGGCTGTGACCCCCACCCCCAAAGATTCATGTGCTGGGGGCTTGGTCCCCAGCATGATGCTGTGGGTGGAGAAGAGACCTTTAAGAGAAAGGCCTATGGTACAGATGCCCAAGAGGCCCTGGGTTCTATCCCAGCGATGTATAGTCTGGGCGTGGTCACGCATGCCTGCACTCCCAGCACTCTGAAGGCAGCAGCAGCATGATCAGAAGTTCACTCTCAACCTCAGCTACACAGTGAATTTGAAGCCAGCCTGGGCTGTGGGAGGCCCTGCTGGAGGAGGGGGAGGTCCTTTGACCATCAGAGGGGTTTGCCTGGGAACTTACTAAGATGGTTCCCATGGGCCCCTAGGCTATTCTGACAGTGAGTTACTATAAGGATGGGACTGAACCCTGAATCCTACATGCTGCCACCAGCCACAGGTTCCTTGCTGGAATTAGCACTATATTATTTGGACCATTTATCTCCAAAACTGCCTGTTTATAAAGTCAGCCCACCTCAGGTATTCTGTTATAAAAGTAAAATCGACTAACGCAGGGACAAGATGGTTGTGAGTCACCAAGAAAATACAGCACCGGCTCCTCAGCCACCATTACAAAAGCTTCTTTTTGTAGCAAGTGGAGGCGATTACGAAGAAACACAACTGATTAAAGCACAGAGAATGAGTGACCTCGCAGCACCTATCCCCACCTGGACAGAGTGACACAACCCTACAGCCAAAGCTCAGGGCACTGTGGAAGACTGTAAGGGACAAGAAGCCTTGCTAAAGTGTGCTCCGGGCGTGCGGGAAGCTGCAGCCGTGAAATCGAAGTGACAGGGTTGTCTGCACAAGACCCCAGCAGTCAGCATTCCAGCACGCATGGGAGTGGCTCACAGGCTCCACCCCTGCTGAAGAGCTGCAGCATCAGAAGGAAGGAGAATCAGTTTTCTTCAGGCGGGAGAAAAGTTGTTTGTGCCCAAGTAGTCAGCCCTACACCCATGAGCATGTGGACACTATTGGATTCAGTAGGACAGACAGACACACACACTCACATGCATGTCCGCACACAATAGTAAGTAGACAAGGCCATCAAGTGAGGACAGAACAACACAGGAAGAGTTGGAGAGGGAGGGAGATAGCTATATAACAATGCATTGTACTTATGAAAGTATTAAAATTAAAGATGTTTGTAGGAAACAAAAGTAAAACATAAACAACAGGAACATCCTGCACTCTGAGCGTTTTACATGGGCTTGGCACAGAGGAAGTGACCTGGGACCCTCACGCTGGTTATTACCTGGACCCAGGCATCTCCCGCCAAGGCCAGGTACTTCCCCTACACAAGGCCTCCAGAGTGGCTTGTGGCTGGCTGTGTCCTGAGGGCCTGCTTGGGACCAACAGTGCGAGTCTCTTTGCTCTCACCAGCCCTTCCCTGTACCACCTGGAACCTCGAGGAAACAATGTAACCCAATAAAAAGTGTTATTACTCTGATCCTAAGCCCGATGCAAACAGCCAGCCAATGCCTGGCTTGTTTGCTTTTAATATTGTCTCCTATGCAGCAGAAGTGAAGCATGCCCTCCTGTGTTTGCCTACTTGATCTGTGCAGGGTGGCCTCCTGTTCATTTGTGTGTAACTGCCTTTGAAAGTTCAGACGTAATAACTACTGAATGGTTTGGATGATATACAGACAGAGGAAGCTCACTGGCCTGGCTACCTGTCTCCTTGACATCCTTGTAAATTGTGTGAAATGTCCTAAATGCTGCTTTCCTCAAACATGCACTTGCGCCATAGCACCTGACCCTAGCTGGTGTTTCAGCAGTACTCAGCATTCTAGGCTACTGTTCACAGCCTTTCTTTTCTTCAAAGGTGTTTCATACATAGCCTTACATCGTCAGGACTGTCAAGCCCAATGAACTACCAGCTTAATAAATCCTATAGTCCACACGCTGCACTAACCTCCCAGAAGTAAGTACAAAGATGAAAACGACTCTGAAGAGCATCTTCAGTTTAACAAGTGAAAAGCGAAAGCCGGGTGTGCACACCTATATTCCCAGCACCAAGGAAGCTGAGACAAAAGGATTGGGAAGCCAAGACCAGTCTACGCTATGCAATGTGGATCTTGTCTAAACAAATGAATGTAAGCAAATAAAAAAGTAGGGCTTTCTAACAGGATAGCCAGTAAATGGCTGAGCATAAATCAGGGTGCACCTGTTCCCAAAGCCAGCGCTGCTTTCTGCATTTGCTAGCAGTACCCAGGGCCCGTTGGCCATGTCTGAATTAATTCAGACCACACATCACTCTCAACAGTTTTAGTGGTGGTGGTGGTTTGGTTTGGTTTTTCACCTGTGCTCTTTCCTGCAACCTGGAGAAGTGTTCTTTATGGGCAGTGTTTTTCTGAGGGTGATTGGTGTCAGGTGTCCCCTGGAAATTCATTAGAAACATCACTTGTCCCATGAAGTGTGGGGGCACATGCCTTGAAGCCCACGGTTCTAGCACTTAAGAAATGGAAGCAAGAGGATGAGGAGTTCAAGACTAGGCATACCTACATATCCAGGCCAAGGCCAGATCAGGCTATGTGAAACCCAGATTCAAAACAAAAACAAGATTAAAAAAGAAAAAAGTGTAGCCCAGGCTGGACTTGAATTCATGATACACCTGCCTCTGCCTCTTTGAATAAAGCTGCCACAACCAGGAGTGGGCGTGTCTGTTTCTTCTGCTCTTGGGACCCCTTTCCTTCTAGCAGGTTGCCTCACCCTGTCTTGATAAGGGGGGTGGGAAGGGCATGTGTCTTCCTGTAACTTGTTATGCAGGGTTCAGTGGACATCCCTGGGAGGCCTGCTCTTTTCTGAAGGGAAGTGGAGGAGGAGTGGATGTGGGAGAGGGAGAGGTATGAGAGGGGGTACCTGGGAGGAGTGGACGAAGGGGAAACTGCACTTGGGATGTACTGAACAAAAAGTAAATTAGAAAGGGAGGGAGGGAAGGAAGGAGGGAGGGAGGAAGGGAGGGAAAGAAGGAAGGAAAGGAAGGAAGGAAGGAAAGGAGGGAGGGAGGGAGGTAGATTCGACCTCTGTCACACATTCTCCAGACAGAATGGCATCATCATTGAAGAATTATATTAGAATATGCAGAGTTCATAGTGCAAACAGCATTCAGGAAACTGTAGAGGATGCTAGGACATGGCAGCCAGGTGATGTGCAACTGGTAAGTGAGGCTGCTGTCTGGATTGCTGGGGGAGGGCTGCTCCGGGCTAGCGTGTAGTCACTGGTACCAGGAGCCAGAGGGGCCTCCTCAGAAGAGACGTTATCTGCACTGAGCGCTGCCTAACTCAATTAATTGCCTTGGTCGGAGGCAGTTACAGCTCAAGAAATTCAATTTGAAGTTAAGTGTACAGCTGGAGCCCTGCTTAGAATTGGTCCCTTAAAATTAGATTCTGGTTTTTGTATGGTACATTGAGCTATATCCAGTTCTTATCAGCTTCCCCTCTGGCACCACTTGCCTCTCCTGTTTGCACGTAGCCTCTCCTGCCCCCTTGTCCTCAGGTTTCTTGGAAGAGGCCCAGGCCTTCTCTCTAAGCTCACTCCAACTCACTTCTGGAGGCCCCCAGCCTCCACGGAGCAGAAGAGGCAGGAGGCCTCTACTCTGGACCTGGATGGAGGCTGAGCAGCACTCTTTATAAAGTCTATAAGGCAACAAAAGGAGGTGTAGTGGCAGCGTGGTTCGTTCTTACCCTGCACAGTGTACAGGCACAGAGCACACCGTAGGCCATTCATTCCTGCCATAGTGCTCTGAAGTAGGTAACACTTCCGTGTTCATTTTAGACCGCAGTCAAGTGGTACTCAATTATGAAACCAAATTACTTTAAAATGATGAAGCACAGAGTCTTGGGGAAACTTGCATGGGCACAAAGGCTGAGGCTTATATCTCAGGCCTTACTAAGTAAGAGAATAAGGCTGGAGCGTCAGCTCAGTGCTAGAATGTTTGCCCAGTTTGCATGAGGCCCCTGTGACTTATCCCCAGAAATGGTCAAAAACAAAAAAAGAGCAAAGAGCATGTGCACAGCTGCCTGTAGTGGAGCCGATATTCCCACACCCATCTCTCGCTGCCTGGAACAACAAAACAAAATTTTCTTTTCTCATTTTATATAAATAAGAGACTATCGTTCCTTAAGTGTGATGCTTAGTTCATCTGACCAGTGATTGCATGGAGAGTCACTTAGGAGACACACCTGAGGGCCGTCTGTGAGGGCAGTTGAAGAGAAGTTAAATGAAGAGAGAAGGCCCACACTGAGTGGGCAGCACCGTCCCTTGGCTGAGGCCTTAGACAAAATCAAAAGGATTTAAAAGGAGAATGGAAGATGAGCGCGGGCGCCCCGGCCCCCGGCTTCACCGTCCCTCCAGAACTTAGACTCCAGTGGTATTTAGTTCCGCAAGCCTTCCCCACCAAGAGAGACGATGTCCTCTCGAGCCATGAGCTAAAAGAAATACTTCCTTTGCTTATGTTGCTTTGTTAAATATTCTGTCACAACAATGAGAAAAGTAATACAGAAATATGTTGTTTGAAGAAACTTGTATCACCAGTTGTGGAAATACCAAACGGTTTTACCATAGTACTAGCCCTATGGCCTCTCCATTGCCCACCATCTTTTACAAGGTGATTCTCCACCCGTGCATTTGGTCTCCGTCATGCGGATGAGTCTATGATGAGGCTATGGAGGCCGTGTATTGTCCTTCTGAGCAGCTGCTGACCTGGACTTGATGGCTGCTGATTACCTTCAAAGAGGCTCACAGCACCTGCCTGGGGCCTGAGCTTGGTGGGGACTCATGTCACTTACCTAGCTGCCACTCAGGGGAACACATGGTCTGCATCATCCAGATGGGCAGCGTGGGCTCTAGTATGGCAACGCCCATGTTGGCCAGACAGATGGAACCTGAGAGACAGTTGTGTGAGCCAATGTGGCTGTCTTAAGCCACACTCTTGCTATGGGAGAGGGGGTCATGGCCAGCTTACCTGCTGCGACCAGGATGTAAGGGTCTTGGAGAAGTGTCAGGAGTGGAGTCCCCATGGCACTCTGAGGAAACAATTAACATGAAGCCTGTTTCACAAGATCTGAGATCGGACTTTAGACATCATTGGCTCCTTTGCTGTAGAGACCAGGAAACTTAGGTCTAGGGAAAGGAAGTGACCTGTCCGGTGTCACAGCTGGGGACAGGGCCCAACTTGTGCACAAGTCCTGAGGCAATCAGAGCAGCATACCATGTATTGGATCTGAGTCCCACCTCCAGTGAATGGAAGCAAAGCCAGGACTGTGAGGAGCTGTCCAGGCCTTCCCACTGCATCTCTCTGGAAACATCAGCTGTCCCACGGTCAGCATTTGACAAGAGGCAGAGTGCTTAAACCTCAAGGTGGGTGTGGAAGTGCCACACCCATCAAGGAAAGTGTGATGACCAGTCACAGCTGTTACTTTGCCACAATCTGGAAGAGCTGCTGGTCTTCCACTGCAGTGTGCCCGCTGGCTGTTTCCATGACATGGTAGTTGGCACCCTACCTCTAGAAGAGACTCTCAGTGATGGATTGCCCGGGTAGGTGAGCTTGTAGGCACATCTGTGGGGAGTGTCTTGCTTGCCCTAATGGAAGGGAAGCCCCAGCCTGTAAGTTGGTGGCACCATCCCCTGGTTTTGATTCCTGAATCACAAAGCAGAGAAGTTGGCATGGGTGTGTTTATTCTCTCTGCTCTTGACAGTGGAAGTGATGTGACTATCTGCTCCAAGTCCCTGCCTGGGCTTCCTCACCATGGTGGACTATAACCTGAAACTGTAAGTCAATAAACCCTTTCTCCCCTAGTTTTTTGGTTGTCAATGTATTTTATCACAGCAACAGAAAGAAAAAAAAAAAAACTGGGACAGGAAGGCAACAGGTGGGAGACCATTGGGACAAGGTGGCCAATCACAGACCAGGAAGAGAGGTATCACAGGAGCCAATGCTGACCAGTCTCTAGGGATAGGGGTTAAGTCACAAGTCTGTATTTGCAGCCCAATACACTAGTGCACTAAGAAAGAATGGAGGAAAAAATACTAAAACTAACATCAAGGTCAACAAATGAGCATAACTAGATTTTAAATGCATTGCACATAATAGTCACAGTAAAGATGAAATTAAAAAAAAATGAATGCAAGTAATTTCCAAGCATGTAGGCCACAGGCCATAAGTCTAATAGGAACTGCAAAAATCTAAAATGCTCCCTAGTAGTTGCCTGTGTGTTTGTACATGGGCACATGCCTGAGCATGTGTATGGGGGAGGTATAGGCATACAGATTATACACATTATAGGGTTGTACAAATGAGTAAATGCAATTTTAGAATTTCTCAAAAAAATTATACAGAGGAGATACGGAGTGTGGAAACCAACTGCAAATGCTGTGGAGTGAGCTGAGAGTGGAGGCACTGGTGCCAACTACCATGTGTATACTATTATCTCTATCATGGAGACAGCCAGTGGGCACAGTGGAAGAAGACCAGGAGCCTGATCTCAGGCCTCATGCTTGCTAACCAAGCATTCCACCAACTGAGCCACATCCAGCTTTCAAGTTTTAAAAATTATTTGTGCATACTCTACTTTCCTATTGTCCCAAGCTAGTCCCTGTTGAGTATCCATCAGGACTGCTACAAAGATGCTCAGTTAAACAGAGGTAGGACTGTCTGCATGAGTATTCCCAGGCCTGGGCAGGTAGGTACCCAAATGGTGCAGGACCCAGCACCCTCCAGGCCTGCAAGCATGCTTTTGGTGCTTTTCTCTGAGGAGTTTGGACTGGGTGATTACTCCTGCTCCTAGACACCTTAGCAGCAGACCGCAAGAGGCGTCTGTTACTGAGGGGAAATGGCACTCCCAGAGCAGCAGGTATGGCAGTGTCAAATTCTTTCAGGAGCGCTCTGTATCTGTAAAATGAAGCTAAAAACAGTCATTTCCTGGAATTTGTAAGACAAGCCAGAGATGGTGCACTAGACAGAGCTCCTAAGCCAACAACTTTTATATGATTACAATTACTTTTCAAACACCTTGACCTACTAAGTCAAGGTGATCAAACTTCCCCACCCTACACATGTTCTCGTTTTTCCTTCTGCTTGCTGCATTTTTTTCTTCATAACGTTTTCTTTGTTTCTTCCTCGTGTTTTCTTTCATTCTTGTAAGTTTACTTGGGTAATTCATTTTCATTTATACTACATAGCTATTGTCACATGGCCATGTGCACATATATGGATGACTTTCTTCTCCCTCACACTGGCTAAAGTTTTCCTGTATTTGCTAAAACATTTCATAACTAGTATTTAAATTGACTATCATAGCCCTGAGGCTGATACACTAAAAGTTACTTAACCATTTTGCCCATGGATAGAAAGCTTTTTTTTTTTTAAACCAGCATTCATTCCTCAGTATATTTCTGCCATAAACACCTTTGTTTTGTTGGGCAGTTTCACTGTGTAGCCCAAACTAACCTCAAACCCATGATGCTCCTGCCCCAGCTTTTTTAGTGTTGAGATTACAGCTGTGACCTACCACAGTTATTCAGTTGTTAGGATGCAACTCTCCATTATCACCCTGGAAAAAGAGCCATTGAAGTACACTTGTTTTCTGGCCCTTTGCATTGTTTTTGGTTGTTTAGGGGAATTGCTCTCATTTTTGTCTATAATTCTTATTTCAGCCCTTCTAACTTTCATAATTCTGGGATTTTTTTCTATTTTAAATTATTTTTTATTATCAATTATTACAATTTATTCAATTTGTATCTAGGCTCTGGCCCCCTCCCTGTCTCCTCCCAATCCCACTCTCCCTCCCTCTTTTCCGCTTATGTCCCTCCCCTAGTCCACTGATGGGGGAGGACCTCTTCCCCTTCTATTTGACCCTAACCTATCTGGTCTCATCAGGACTTGTTGCATTGTCTTCCTCTGTGACCTGGCAAGGCTACACCCCCCAGGGGGAGGTGATCAGAGAACCTGTCACTGAATTCATGCCAGAGAAAGCCCCTGCTCCCCTTACTAGGGAGACTGAGTCTATGGGCTACATCTGAGCTTGAATGTTAGGTCCTTTCCATGCACTGTCCCTGGTTGGGGTATCAGTCTCTGCAGGGCTCCCAACACTCAGTTTTTTGGTTCTGTTGGTCTTCTTTTGGAGCCCCTGTCCCCTCCAGGTCTTTCTATCTTCCCCTTCTTTCATAAAATTCCATGCCCTCTGCCCAAAGTTTGGCTATGAGTTTCAGCCTCTGCTTCAATACCTCCATCAGTAGAGTCTTTCAGATGTCCACTGTGGTAGGCGCCTGTCCTGTTCCCTGTCTTCTCCTGCTTCTGATGTCTATCACATTTGTCCTTCTGAATGAAGACTGATTATCTTCCCTAGGGTCTTCCTTGTTGTTTAGCTTCTTTAGGAGTATAGATTTTAGTACGTTTATCCTCTATTATATGGCTAATATCCACTTATAAGTGAGTATATACCATGTGAGTCTGTCTGCTTCTGGGATACCTCACTCAAGATGATCTTTTCTAGTTCCCACCATTTGCCTGCAAATTTCATAATTTCCTTGTTTTTAATAACTGAGTAGTAGTCCATTGTGTAAATGTACCACAATTTCTGTATCCATTTCTATTTTTTGAGGGATATCTAGTTTGTTTCCAGCTTCTGGCTATTACGAATCAGCAAACATGGTTGAACAAATGTCCTGTTGTATAGCTGAGCATACTTTGGATATATGCGTAGGAGTGGTATCACTGGATCTTGAGGTAGCACTATTCCTAATTTTCTGAAAAAGCACCAGATTGATTTCCAAAGTGGCTGTCCATATCCTCTCTAGCATGTGTTCTCACTTGAGTTTTTGATCTTAGCCATTCTGATGGGTGTAAGGTGAAATCTCAGGGTCATTTTGACTTGCATTTCCCTGATGACTAAGGATGTTGAACATTTCTTTGTTTCTCTGCAATTTGATATTCCTCAAGAGAGAATTCTCTGTTTAGCTCTGTACTCCATTTTTTAATTGGGTTACTTGATTTGTTACTTTTTAACTTCTTGAGTTCTTTATATATTCTGAATATTAGCCCTCTATCAGATATAGGGTTGGTGAAGATTCTTTCCCAATCTGTAGGCTGTCGTTTTGTTCTGATGACAGTGTCCTTTGCTTTACAGAAGCTTTTCAGTTTCATGAGGTCCCATTTATTGATTGTTGATCTTAGAGCCTATGCTGTTGGTGTTCTGTTCAGGAAGTTGTCTCCTGTGCCAATGAGTTCAAGGCTCTTCCCCACTTTCTCTTCTAACAGGTTTAGGGTATGTGGTTTTATGTTGAAGTCTTTGATCCACTTGGACTTTAGTTTTGTGCAGCGTGATAAACATGGATCTATTTGCATTTTACTACATGTAGATATCCGGTTAGACCAGCACCATTTGTTGAAGATGCTATTTGCCATTGTATGGTTTTGGCTTCATTGCCAAAAGTCAAATATCTGTAGGTATGTGGGTTTATTTCTAGGTCTTCTATTCAATTCCATTGATCCATCTTTCTGTTTCTAATGAATTGCAGGATTTTTAAATTTCATCTTCTGGGGACCTTTTTGTTTTCCTTGAGGTCTTTGTCCTTGGGTTAAAAGGGAAAATTTCAGAATCAGGCATTGTTCTGGCCCTAGAGCTCAGGAGATGGAAGGCCAGGAGGTCAGGCTCATCCTCTGCTGCATAGTGGGCTACAGGACAGCCTGGGCTACATGAGACTGGGTCTCTGGCTCTGGTTTGGTCAGTTTCCTAGTCCTTGAAAAAATAATTTCTTTTTCCTTACTTTACTGATCATTCTTAGAGCCAAACAGTTAGTGAAGTGAAGACAGTCTCTGCATGACTTTCTTCACTGCTCTAGTTTTGTTCTCTGCAATTTTCTTCCTACAGTCAAGGAAAACTTCTTTGTAGTCTTCCCACTGACACTCAGACCCAGTACCATCATCTGCAGTATGTTCTTTCTATCAAGCTTTGTAGAGGATCTCACTGCCTTGTTCTTCTCCAGCTCAAACACATCCTTGCCCTCCCAATGGTGTCCAGTACTTCTCTTCTTCTGTTGTTCCATCCCTTCTTTGACTTCAGGCAGTTCCCCTATACTGAGGAACCGACCCAATACTGTAGGACACATTCGTTCTTTCTCCAGCTGACACCACTGCTTCTGCACAGGAAAAATGCTTGCACCCTAGGACCTTCTCGATCAGTGCTCACAGCCTGGGCAACTCCTCACCCTATGCTGTGTCCACTGTCCTCCTAATACAACTTGGTCTGGGTTTCTCAGAGCCATATTTGGCTTGGGGTCAAATAAGCATCAACTCTGGTGTTTCTTAATTATGACAATGATGGTCAACTGAGGATGCTCTCGGAAAAGGCTGTCTGGAGGTCTCTGTCACCTTTTTCATTCCTTAGAAAACACTTGATTCTTTCCATAGCCTCACTTCCATCTTTATCTAATATCAAGCCAGACTCCTTTGCTACCCTAAGTGTAGGCCTGCCTGGAATCCAAATCTGGGTGCACTTTTCCTTACTTCCCATTTCTCTTGTACTCAGCCATGCTATTTATCCCTGGGTGATGGAGCTTCATGCCCACTTACCTCAGGAGACACTTTGGAAGGCCACAGGATGCAAAGCTGGAGAGCTGAGAAAAAAGGGAGGCATGGAGAGAGCTGTTTATTCACTGATTATCTGGGGCTCTAATGGCTACGTAGCTACTGCCTTGAGTCCCTCAGTTTTTTTTTTCCTTTTTTACTTGAAAGGGGCAATCTTTGCCCCATCCAAACATGTCAAGACAGACACCATAGTATAATGTACTTACAATCTGAGCTGAGCTATTATCTTTCTGGAAGCACCAGCATTGACCTACCTCCATCCAGAAGTGCCAGGAAGGCCAAGATGAGGAATGGTGAGGACTTGCCCACAAATCCATACATCACACTTCCGAATGGTGCTCCTACTGCAAGGAAAGGCAACACAGACCCCTGCAGTGAGACTTCCGCAGCACCTGTTCAGCCTTTACCGAAGGCCTTTAGGGGCTAAGCTCCACTGAGGCACGGGGGTTCAGAGGTGAAGATTTGGCCTCTCTCCTCATGAAATTCCTTTCTAGTAAATGGAATTTATCAAGGCAGGGGCCAGGAGGCAGTAAGACAAATAGCTGGAATATGGCAAAATGCTCAGCAGTAGGTCTTCTTGTGCACAGAATATTATTTAAGTCTAGCAGCATGAGTCAGAAAGACCAGGGGAATCACAAACGCTTTGCCAAGTCTATTGCACCCGGGGTCATGTGTAGGAGCAACACTGAAGGGTCTAACAGAGGACACAAGTGGGGGTGAAGGCTGATATTAATGCAACATGAATATTTGGAGAGGAAATGTTAAGATGAAGGTGGTTGACACAACATTAATCAAGGACTCCAGATAATCCAGAAGAGGTATCTACTGGGCCTTGTTGGTTACTGAGAAACGTGGTACTTTTTAGCAGAGAAGAAACACCACCATGGTAGGCTCCAAAATATTCTCTGGTAGTATGTACCATGAATGAAGGAGGGGTGTGAAAGAGAACCAGTAGAAGGCTAGTGCCACGTTCCAACCAAGAAAGAGGAGGAAGCTGACTTTGAAGGAGCTCTAAGGATGTAGTATGCTCATTCTTCTGATAGTTCCTGTGAAAAAGGTGTAGAATATGACCCACAGTCCAAGTAGGTGTCTATATGGCTACTGAAAAAGAATAAGGCTTTCTTCCCTCTGTTCTCAACCACGGTGGCTGGTAGGACATAAGCCAGGGAAGAAAGAGACTTGGGTCTTTGCCTCAGCAACCTTGCAAACTCTCTGAGGGCAGAACATTGTTAGAAGCTATAAAGTCTATGCAATCTGTGCCAGCACTGTGCTTAGCACAAAGAGAGTGCTCAGCAAAAGAAAGCAATTTATTGAATTAGTCAATGCTAAGTCTATACATCAAGGAAAACATAAACACATTGTTTGGAGCTGAGGCTTCTGAGTATAGAAAATCTGAGTCCTTATCTCTGGCCCTGGCATTACTTTGGATGTCTCCTAAATTGCTCTTATTCTTATCTCTACTCCAGAGACAACCATTCATCTTTCACATGTTGGTGGTGAGGATCAAAGGAGATTATTTCTATGAAATCAGCAGTGACTCTGGCAGAAGCTGTGGAAAGCTCCAGCTATGCATGGAAGCAGAGGTGAGACAGGCAGCGGTCACTCATGTGGGGACATTCACTTCCTTGCACAGGTTGGCCTTCAGGACTTCCCCAGGTACTTATACATTTTGCAGCTTCTTAAGGAGAAAGAAATGTCACCTTTCCCTAGTTATCTTTCTCAAGCAGTCAACACAATTGCGCCAGGAAGGCAAGGAAAATACTTACTTGTCTTCCATGACAGGAAGTACCTGCCTCCTGCAGCCATCTTTGTGGCATTTGCAACAACCTTGTCTCTTGTACTAAGATCTCTGTCTAGGTGCTACTTACCCAGGAGCCCCAACGCCAGGCCCCCCAAAGCAATTCCCATGGCTTTCCCTCTCTCGTCGTTGTCAGTGTAGACACTGGCCAACATCCCAAGCCCTGAACAGAAAATGACAGTTAGAGTCTCCATAGGGAGGCTGATGATTGCGTCTGCCAGCCCTTGATCCCAGGCCTGTAATACCCTGAGTGACAGTCCTGCTGGACGTTTCATCTGAGGGGCTTTATAAATGAACTCACAGTATATTGTAAATACTGTCCTCCATAGCTGCTTCTCCCGCCTCCTCTACACACAGCTTATGATTTCAGTGACAATATTGTTAAGATTGTTAAAATGAGAAGCCTTGGAGAAAGGGTAATATAATAATACTACTGTCTAATTTAGTTCATGTTTCATGGGGTTTTATCATTTCCTAACACACCTCGCTGCATGAGGCGGTCACAGACCAGGCGACCAGGGAGAGGAGACGGAAGAGTGGACTATTGTACTCAGTATGACTCTCACACTGAGGAGGATCATGAGAACACTAGGCACTGGGAGAGTGTGGGCTGCCAACATCTGGCAAGTGTGCCACCAGCCATTCAGTTGTGCATGTAGCATAACACAGCAGCCTCGTGGGGTACTGTGACATCTTTGCTAGTCAATACTTTAAAAAATATGATGATATTACTGAAATAACAATTAATAACTGAAAGCAATGCAAAGGAAGAGCCATGAAGCGGCAGTAGTTAAAAGCCTGACCTTAGGCTTATTCTCACTTGAGCTAACTAAATCTACATAACATTGGAAGTTAATCCAGGCCAATAATCTATTTGCCCTGCCCACAAATCTACAATCATTTTATTCCTGAATCACAATTGCTACCTCCCTGGATGGCATTTTCCTTGTATAAATTTTATGAAGTTCCTAAAGTAGTGGTAAGAAGCTCTGTGTGTGTGTGTGTGTGTGTGTGTGTGTGTGTGTGTGTGTGTGTGTTGCAGCATTACCTGCAACAGATGAAAATGAAGATCCAATGCCTTGGAGGGTTCGGGCTACAAACAGTAGGGCGTAGGTGCCAGAGAAAGCAAACACTGGGAAAGAGAAGAGTGAGAATGATCCAGGTTGGGGTGAGCAGAAACATTTTCCTCAGTGGTGGAGACACTAATGGGCTGCTTGTGCCCCTGTAAATAGCCTCCCACTCTAATTAATTAGAATTAATTAAGTAACCCCAATTAAACTTGTAGAAGGGGGACTCATTGAAAAGAGGGAGAGCATCAGTGAGAGTGAGCAGGGATAAAAAAGGGTAATTGGGGAGGGGAATGAACATGATCAAAAACACATAATATAATGCATGAAACGCATAACTAAGTCCATTGTTAGACGTTGAGTTAATTAGGTTAATTGTCGCAGTTAGATTTGGCCATCAACTTGACACAGCCCAGAGTCATCCTGGAACAGGTAACTCAGTTGAGGAGTTGCCTAAATTAGACTGGCCTCTGGACATGTCTGTGTGGTGTTTTCTTCATTGCTAATGATATAGGAGGCTCTGCCAACACGCGTGGTCCTGGACAGTATAAGAAAAGTAGCTTAGGGGTTGGGGATTTAGCTCAGTTGTAGCCCTGAGTTCTGTCCTCAGCTCTGGGGAAAAAAAAAAAAAAGATAAAATAACAAAAAGACCAAAAACAAACAAACAAAAAACAAGGTAACTGGTAAGAAATGTAGCTGAGCAAGCTATTAGGAGCAAGCCAGAAAGCTTTTTTTTTTTTTTTTTTAAATCTCTGCATCAGTTTCTGCCTCTGGATTCCTGCTTTGGTTTTTCCTAACCAGGGACTGTACTTTGTAAGCCAAATAAACCCTTTTTTCCCACAAAGTTGTTTTTGGTGAGAACATTTTATCACAACAGCAGAAACTAAAACAGGACATTAATAAAACAACATTTTTTAAGAATGATTTTTAGACCAGGCTTGCTGCCAAGCCTGTGACATGAGTTCAATCCCTGGAATCCACATGGTAGGGGAGAACTAACCCCTGCAGGTTTCCTTCTGACCTCAATGCACTCAGTGGCAAACATACATGTGTAATAATAAATAAATAAATAAATAATGACACAATAAATACAAAAGAAGGATGGTCTGTTAGCAAGCTGACTCAAATTCCACAAAGAATGTTCTGGACATCCACGAGAGATGAGTCACTCCTACACAGATCTTAAGCATCATGACGAGATGAGACCCATTATCTCATAGAATTAACAGACTTAGAGGCTGGAGAGATGGCTCGGCAGTCAAGAGCACTGGCTGCTCTTCCAGATGACCTGGGTTCAATTCCCAGAACTCTCGTCGCAGCTCACAATTGTCTATACCTCTAGTTCCAGGGGACCTAGCACCTTCACATAGAAATACATATAAGTAAAATACCAATTCACATAAAAAAATAAATTTTGATTTAAAAAAAGAATTAGCATTTTAATATAAAAACTGTGATTTACTAAATGGTGCTGGGTGTGCTGCTCCGCTGGACTGGTGGCAGGTGTGAAGAAGAAAGAACACGTCCAGCTCATGCCCTTGAATACGAACTGTTTACTAGAAACTAACACAGGCGAAACTGAAAAGCAAACTGGAGAGTGCTGTCTCAAACTAAATTACAGGTTGTGGAGTTTGAGTTGGTAGACCCAGACATAGCTCATCCTCAACTTCCAAACAATGTCTCCAAAAAAAAGGGAATTCCTCCCAAGGAATTTTTCTGAGCCAGAAAAACTTCAATCCTCCTGACCACTCATTATAGGTGTCTTTGGTTGTGGTTTATGATCTTCAGGTACAGCCCAACATGACCACACCCAACTACTTATTTTCTCCCCAAAGCACACACTCTTGGTCCCTCCTTTTTTGACCTCTAATGCCCATTCTCAAACTTTCTAATTTCTACTATGCTCAAACCCCACTATTTTTATGTCCTTAAAAAGTGGAGTAGCTCCATGGAGATAACCTAGAACCCTGACAATGCAGCCACTTCTGATGAAAACTGATAGACTAAGATCAGAAAGAAGGAGAGGAGAACCTCCCCTATCAGTGGACTTGGGGAGGGGCATGCATGCAGAAAGGGTGGGAGGGTGGGACCGGGAGGGGAGGAGGGAGGGATACAAAATGAATAAAGTGTAATTAATAAAAGTTTAAAAAAATGGAGTAGCTAATTTGCTACCTGAGATGTTCTTAGTTTCAGAACCAAAAGTCACATTTTGGAAAACCTCAATCCCAGGAAAATCAGGACAGTTGGTCACACTCTTCAGAAAAAGCAATCATTTTCCTTTTATTTTTCTAAATTAATATGGGCCATTATTTATCTCCCAATCATCTTAAGAACTCCCAGATAGGAGCACCAAAGAGGCGTGATGGGCATCAGAAACCTCTTCTTAGTAATTTTGTGTTTTTTTGAGTCAGGGTCTCATGTATAGTGGACTGGCCTTGAACTCACTATAGCCAAGGATGACTCCGGCCTTCTAAGCCTTCTGCTTCTAGCTCCCAAGTACTAGGCCTGTGCGAGCACACCCAGCTCTTGCTTACTATTTTATTCAAACCTTAAGGAAGATTTACATGGGCTCTCCGAACAGCCAAATATATTTTCTTTTGTATAGAATTAGGCTAACTCAGTACAGCAACACCATAATTGTTACCTAACGCACACAGTTTGGTACCTAGAAAAAGCTTTTAATCTACTACATCGCAGAGGAGCAGATAAGGATTTTATGCTAAATAGCCTGGGTCACAGATATACTTTGTGATCTTATTTTGCATGGTATGGACATGAATCCCAAGGCAACCACCAAACCCTCCTCTACATACCTGGAACATATTTTATTGTTTGTATGTGGTCCAGAAAAAATTTAATGAATTTCTAAGTCACATTGGATGACTGTGTTCCTTAATTTGCTCCCTGACATGAACTGAACTTACTGAAGACTAATGAACCCCACTAATTCCTGGGGTTTTTCTTATAGTAAATTTTGTTCTTTCAGTTTCATACTTGTACACTCTGCTTTCCCACCCCAGCATTCTCTCTCATTTCCCTCCCAATTCAACCAGGCTTCCACCCTGTAAATCTCCTGCTTGCATTAAGTGGTTTTGTTTTGTTTGGTGTCCCACTGAGTTTGATGAGGGCCTTCTCTGGGACCCTGAGTTTAGAAGTAAGCAGCGCAGCGTGGTGACGTCATTTTCTTTCATTAGGTTATAATTACGCAAGTGTATTTCCAGGTCTCAGCAAGAACGCCCCACCTCAAGCTCTTGCATGTCAGCCTTCCTTCCATCCCTAAATGCATCTAATGCTTGTTGAACTTCAGATTAGTCAGTTTTTTTTTTTTTTAATCTTGGAAGGAGGAAAACTTGAAAAGGAGGAATACAGAAAGGATATGTGATAGAAAACTAAAAAAAAAAAAAAAAAAAAAAAAAAAACAGAGGGAGAAGCTATATAATTTGGAGCGAGGGGTCAGCAGAGGCAGCAGAAAACAACGGTAGGTCCATAGGCGCCTTCCCTGCATTGGTCCTTTAAAAGTGGACACTCTAACCCCGTGCTTTCTCCCTTTATCTCAGGCTCAAACATCAGGCTTATTCTCACCTTCTCGATTTCACCTCTACTTTATTAGATCAAGCTGAGGCTGGATGAGATTTGTCATTACTTTCTTGTTTCTTTAGCAAATTTACTTTCCTGATGTATAACCTTTACCACCCTTAGCTGGGAAACAATAGACCTTTGGGAGTTTTCTAGTTTCTGTGGTCCAACATCCTTTTTTGTTGCTGCTGTTAGTCACCCTTTACCATAGCATATCAATATAATACTATCTCTTTTAAAAGACAGATGCTTGTAGTAAGCTTGTTGACACACACACACACACACACACACACACACACACACACACACCCCTGAACAAGGAAATGCATATACCCACATGCATAGTTACCATAGCTTGTACATTCAAACAGCTCTCCTGAATTTCACTGAAGTAAATTAAAAACCTGTTCTCCTATAGTAGTTGAGAATGATTCTAACTAGGAAAGGTGGTCACTGGCACTATCCCAGCCCTGTTCCAATGACTGCAAACATTTCAGTCAATGTCCCAGTTGACTTGTTCAGATGTCCCTTTTTTCTCTCAATAATGCAGTTCTGCTCTCCTACACTACATTTACATGACGGAATCAAAGAGACTTAGTGAAGAGAAGCAAAGACTTACTTAGTGTGGAGAGAAACATGATCATAAAGCCAGCAAACATGGGGATGTGATAGCCAATCCTAAAATGGAAGTGAACAAAGACAGATAGCATTGCAGCAGGCATTCATATACTTGGACAGTATTTTTTAACAGAGATGGGGTTAATTTGAGAGCATGCTTTTAATATCGAATGCATACTTATAAATAAACAAGCAAATCTACCCACAAGCAAGGCCCTAATTATCCTTTCTGGGAAAGGTATCTCTCAAAACCTCAGGATCATCCCAAATGAGATTTGCAGGAAGCCAGAGCATCATTCAGACTGTATTCAGACTGTCCTATACTCTCCATCATCCCACTCACTCCATGCTCACCAACTGCCAGCTGTTCACTGCTTCTGTTCTCAGCATTCAATATCACATCCTTAAGAAAATGTGATACTTGTAACATTTCATCAATAATCTGTTACCCTTTGAGATAAAAGGTTATCCAAACTACAGTCCCACCCACCAACTGTGGGGCGGGGCTCAGAGCATTCTTTTCTCTTCTAACCACCTTAACCAGTGATTCTCAACCTATGGGTCACAAACCCTTTGGGGATCAAAGACCCTTCACAGGGATCACATATCAGATATCCTCCATCTTAGATATTTACATTATGATTCATAACAGTAGCAAAATTATAGTTATAAAGTAGCAGTGAAAATAATTTTATGGTTGTGGATTACTACAACATGAGGAACTAAATTAAAAGGTCACAGCATTAGGAAAGTTGAGAACCACTGACCTACATAAAACCTAAGCCTCTATGGTAAGCCTGAGCCTGTACTTTGTGAATGGGACACTGTGGTGTTTGAATAAGAGTGGCCTCCATAGGCTCATATGTTTGAACACTTTGTCACCAAGGAGTAGCACTTTGAAAGGATTAGAAGGATTAAGAGGCGTGGCCTTGTTGAAACAAGTATGTCACTGGGGAGTTGGTTTTGAGGTTTCAAAAGCCCATCTCAACTCCAATTTCTCTCCCTCTGCTTATGCATCAGGAGGTAGCTCGCAGCTACTGCTCCACTTCCTGCATGCCACCATGCTTCCTGCCATGATGACAATGGACTAAACTTCTGAAACTGTAAGCAAGCCTGGAATTTAAATGCTTTCTTTTACAATAGTTGCCTTGGTCATTCTTCACAACAGATCAGTGACTAAGACAGACACTGTGGCTACTGAATTACCTGTTGGTAAGAGGTCCTACAAATGGGTTGACCAGAAGTTGCATTAAAGCCTTTGAAGCAAAAAGAATCCCAACCCGGATATTTTCTTCTTCCAAGAACTCTATCCCTTGCAAGCAGTTGTTTTTAGGTCCTGGGCCAGCTTCAGTGACTGGAGGAGGAGGAGTGCCATTTGTCCATGCTACACGGAAGGGTACATGCTCTTCTACGGTCATGGTGGTGTTGTCAAAGAAGGATAATATGGTAGAGAAGGCAGGAGAGGTGAGAGCTTGATGGGAGCTTATAGAAGAGTTGATGTCTTTGAACTCTGTCGCATACAGGAAGGTGGGCACAATGGGCACTGAAAATCAATGAGGTATGTGAGGAAAGTCAGGAACAGACATACTTTTACCGCTACTAAATTCAAAGGCATTGCTATGAGGTACAGTTTTATGCAAAAGGAAAACACCTAAGTGACATTATTTAAAGCCTACTAAAGATCATACCTGCTCAAGTAATCCTGTTAGTTAAGGGACAAATTCTATCCATCAGACAGTTAGTCTTCATGAATTTGTGGCATACTTACTGTAACCAGTAGTTCATCTACTTGTAAAGAATCATGTACAACCTGAGAATCAACAGTTGATGATAATCTATAATGATTTTTCACAGATTGGTGCAAAATGAGGGAAAAAAAAGAGTCGCCCCAATACATATAACCCAGCTGAAGTAGAACAAAGCTGGGTCTGTCTCTTTGTTGCAGCTACCAGATGACTGGAAAATGAGGGCCTAGGCAGTGTGGTGTGAGTCGCTCAGACTCTGAGGAAGTTGACAGCGTTGAATTCCAGCCCCAGCACTAGTAGGAATCTTGGACATGTTATTTAATATCGTTGAGCCTAATTTTCTTTTTGTAAAAGAGACAGAACCTGCCAGGATGCATTGATATTAAGATTTAACAATCTCTATGATGGTGTGGAATGTCCCTTTGATGCAAAGATTCTATATTTGCTATGTTAATGTTTGTGAGAGTTTATGAATATACTCTGACTATCAAACCACAAAATATCAGTATTGACCATATTGGGTTATCTACTTGTCACAAGAAGCCTTTTCCTTAAAGCACAAATTTCACCTAGGAGGGACAACATCTAGAACTTAGTCATACACTTCTGAAATGTCCTGTAAAATTAAGTATCAGCCGGAAAATGCAGGGCTGTGAGGCTGTGAGCTGCAAACAAGGGCTTGGTAAGGACGTGGATGTCCTGTTACAGAGCTGGAAAGGCATCGTGGGAAAATGGCGCCCACTGCCCCAGGTGACTCTAGAGTCATCAGCAACCGTGGGAAGACAGAATGGTGAAAAAAAATCCTGTCTTAAGACTTCTTTTCCTGCCAGGCACTTTTTTTTTTTTTTTTAGTCCTACGTCTAACAACCTTCAGATCCTGCTGCCTACAGTTCCCTCCAGCCCTCAACAACCTCCACGTCTTTTGAGAAACTTAACAAGTTTTCTGCTCATTGATGAAATCAAGCAGGGTACATGCTGCCCGCTATGACCCAAAGCAGATACACCCTTAGCACAAAAAGCCCCAAACATACCCACCACGGTGAGAAGCATGTTGTCCAGGAGCAGGGCCACAAATACCACTACCAGCACCAGCTTCCGGGACTGTCTCCCTTCCTTCAGCAGCCGCTGCGGAGCACGTAGAGCAAAGTGGAGCATGGCCACGGCTGCAGGAGGCTGGGCTGGGTGGGGAGTGGGAGAGCAGAGGCCTTCTCCTCCAGGTGCTTAGGGAGGTCCCTTGACAGACTCGGCTCTTCTGTCACCTTCACACAAGAAAGGGAAGCCTGCCTGCTCCACTAAAGCTCACTGTCTAAACGAAAAGTGGGAAAGCGTTCAAGCAGCAAAAGAGTTTGAATTTTTCAAGCATATTTACGCATTTCTTACATAATCTCAATAATTCCACATTTCCCACAACACCTTCCAGAGAAGTTTTGCTTACAGAGATTTATATCTGAAATCACCCCTGCTTCAGTAAACAGACTATACAGATGATCAGCCTCCTTGTTTCTCAACTGTCAGACATCGGACTCTCATCCGAATGGTGTAAGCATCACCTGAGCCATTACTCTCTTTTCTTGTAATTTTTAAAACAGTTTTAATTTTGAAACACTGTTTTTAAGGGCAACTGCATAAGTCAGGCAGGGTGGTGCACACCTGTAATCCCAGCTCTTAGGAGGTGAGACCAGGAGGTTAATAAGTTTGGGGCCAGCCTGGACTACCTAGAGATCCAGGTCACAGCTACACAGAAAGACCTTGTCTCAAAAATAAAGAAAATACAAATACAAGCAATTTTATGACTACACCAAAATAAACCTCTTAAGTTTATTACCGCTCAAAAATTATGGTGTAGGAGGCTGCATTTAACATGTAAAAGTAAGTCACCCAGGCTATCTGTCCACTGATAGGCATTAACCAGAACCAAAAAAATTCAAAGACTCTTAACTTGTATATTGTATTGTATATTTGTTCTTTTTCTGTGGATATACAATGTTAGAAGGGCTTGTTTGTTTGTTGTTGTTTATTTAAGCTACAGGACTCTGTTCTGTGTAAATAAGATGCTAACTCTCATGATGAGTTTTCTAAGTGGACTTCTAAATCAGTAGTTTCCTACTTAGGAACATGTATGATATGTTACCATCATGTCACAATTGCTTATTCAACCTCAGGGAACCACAATTTCTGAGAGGATATCATCTGCTTTTTTATGATGCTTCTGTTACAGCGCTAACAATACCAATCATTTAACACTTTAAAATGGATTGCTATCATAAAATGTATGATACATATATGGCATTGTATTCATGCTTGGCATGTGAATGCAAAAAAAGATGTGCTTATTTTTAAGATTAAAAAGATGTGCATTCAAGTGCTAGTTACTTATGATCAGTGGCTTACTCTTTTCCTTGCTTGTCATTTAAAAATAATTCTATAATGAACCAGGTTCATAATACAAGCAGTAAATAATTTTGGGTGGTTATATCTAGGATTAAACATCAGCCTCAAATGGTAGAAGTACCCCAGGCACTGAGCTAGTGTCTTCTAAGCCCAGGGCTAGAAAAATATCCTCTTCTTGGCAGTTCAAGGAGCAAGCTCGCAAGGGAAACAAATTTCTAGGTAACTCCAAACCAGGAACCACATACAGTGAACTGGAACGCTTCATTTCTTTGTATGATAAGAAATTTCAAATTACAAACTTACTTAAGACACATAAGAATGAAAAGATCAAAAGAAAGCAACAAAAATGAAAAGTTGTTAAATAGAGTGAATTAAGTAGGGAGAGATTAACAATACAATAAAACAACAAAAACAAAACAAGAAATCTGTTAACCCATCAATAGTAAACTTATCAGTCAAAACCCTCTGACAAGAAACATAAATTTTAAGGAAGAATTGAACTTGTCCAGAAAGAAAAAGAGAATCTTACCTTACAGCTCATCTTAATGTGAGGCACTCAAAGAGGAACTGGCAGCTGTTGGCAAGACAGCAGAGACTCTGCTCTCTGAAAGAGCATGTGCTGATGGATTTATTGCCGCCTGCTATCTGATGGTTGTCTGTGTGTGTGTGTGTGTGTGTGTGTGTGTGTGTGTGTGTGTCTGCAAGTGTACTTTGTCCACAAAGACTTAATTGGAACTTCCAACAGGTTTCATTTAGACTCTTAGCTCTCTGCGTCAAAGGCAGACAGGGTCAGGGCTGGAGAGCACAGAGGAAGTGGATTTTTCCTAAGCAAAGAGGCCCTGGGCTGTGCTGGTTCTCATCTGTGCTTATCTGTCATATTACTCTTTTAACTCTTGCCTGGATCTGGATACAAACTAGAATGCAAGGTTGAACCAGGCACATTGCCTGTCCTTTAGTACTTAAAGATGCCTCTTGTGCATTCTTTCCTTGAAAGAAATAAATCTTGAAACATTTATGTGAAGAAAAGAAATAAGCGCTTACTGTTCTCTAGCCATAAAACCTAATATATGGGGCTGAAAAGATGATTCAATTAACAGATGTCTGTGAGACACACAGAAAGACCTGAGTTTGCTTCCTCCGGGGCTTCCTGGGCAGTATAGCTGAAGCAGCAAGCTCTAGGTTTAGCAAGAGACAAATATGGAAACAAATTGAGGAAGACACCCAGCATTGACTTGGGGCCTCTACATGTCTGTGCACACACATGTTTGCATCTGTACCCACATTTGCATAGGCACATGAACATCTATAAACACATGGAAACATAGACAAATCAGACATCTCTGGTCTATGTACAGACACAGATTTTTCATCCCAATCCTACCTCAGTGCAGAGCACATGGTACCCACTGGTAAATCTCTATCACGGGTGACTGGATAGATGGCTACAGGACAGATAGCAACTCACTGAGAGATATTCAAAGGCACCACGGCTTTGTAATATTCTAACATGAGGCATCTTCAGTGGGGCCTTGAATGTAAAGTTTACAAAAAAAATAAAAACCAAAAAACAGATGAACAAGAGCAACAGAAGCGTCCTAATTAAATGACTCCTAATCCTACTATGAGCCATCCTAATTAAATTAATAACTCAGAGGCTTGATTTAGGGCTAAAAAAGAAAGAAGGAAAGAGCTTTAAAATGTCAACCTGGAGAGAGAGGACAAGACCATTAAGGAAATGTCTTGTTCCTGTACCTACCGTGAATTTAGCAGCACAAAACAGTACACCTTTGCTGTGGTACACTTGTGGAGGTCAGAAGTCCACACAACTGTGCCTGGCCTAAAATGAAGGCATCCACAGGGCGTGTTCCTCTGGCACTCTGTGGACCATCCAATTCTTTCATCTCTGAGAGACCACCTACAGATTTGGCTCCCAGCTTTCCCCTTCAAAGCCAGCAGCGCGTCTAACTCTTCCCCTCCTTCACTGACAAGTGGCTATTCTGAGTACACCCGAATATTTCACAATCGTCTCCTGTCCCCAGGACCTTAAAATAATCACAGCTGAAACACCTGTACCTTTCAGCACACAGAGAAACAGTCACAGGTTCATGGCTAGGATTTGAGCATCTGTGGGTGCCATTGCCCCGCTTTCATCATGAAAGGGAGCACGTGAGTCCCCCAACATTCCCCTGTGCCTGTGTCTGTAGGAAAAAAGGGGTCATGGTCAACAATTAGAGGAGATATATCAGTAAATATATTTCCTACTCTGGGCAAAAGGCCTTTTGGGATGCAGTTGGCACTTCTGCCACCCCATTTCCCACTAAGTGCAATTAAGGTTCTCTAAGCCTTAAGGAAGCTCCAGCAGAGTGCAACTGTCCAACAGACAACATGGGGAGGGGAACACAATCCTAACTGGAGAAAACTGGAGACACCAACCAAACTCAGAGTCCCCCCAAAAAATGATATGAAAATGATGATCTGGGGCCCTGAGGGCTTAAGAGGGCAGGTGTGGTTAAAGAATGACCACACTGTCCATTAACAGAAACAATAGCAACAATGGCGGCCACTGTGAACTGCCTACATGTTATTACTAACATGTAACATTTTATTTAAAACATGTATATACATTTGTATATAGTGCTTGTGTTCACAGGCAAGACAAGGAAGTCTTCACAGACACTGGTGATAATCACAGGAGTGAGTGCTCATTGTCCTCTAGTTAATGCTTTCACCTCTGTTGGGGGGGTAGTGTGTGTGTGTGTGTGTGTGCGCGCGTGTGTACCTGTGTGTGCAGGTACATGTGTGCCATGACACATAGTAGACAGCCTAGACTGGCAGTCATCACCTTCTACCTTGTTGAATCCAAGTTTCCGATTTGCCACTGCACTTGGCAGGCTGGCTAATCAGAGTAGGGCCAGTGAGTCCAACTCAAGTCATCAGCCATGGCAGCAGGTGCCCTTACCACTGAGCTACCCCATGTTCTCTAAAGTATAAACTTGTGGTGCGTGTTTTCAGGCATGCACATACTTTTCAAAAGCTGAAAGCAAGCCAGATGCCCCCCCTCCTTACAAAGGAAAAATAAATAAGCAAATGTAATAAATACTCACAATGAGACCTTACCTAACATGGATTCATTATTATGCTAAAACTATGTCATTCACCACAGGAAAAGCTCTCTATAATTTCATCTATATGAGGTTCCCAGAATAGCAGAATGCACAGAAACAAAAACAACATCTTTTTTAGGGTCTGGGAGATGGGAAATGGGAAGTGGTTCTCCAATGGGTACACAGTTTCAGTTTCACAAGATGAAAAGCTTCTAGGAATCGGTTGATTGAACCAATATCAAGTATTTAAGTGTTAAATACTAAACTGTATATTAAAATGGTTAACATTTAAATAGGTCTTATGTCTCTTTTGATATAACTAAACTTTTTAAAAAATGTATGCACATCATGATTATGTATTATATATTGAGTATATGAATGTATATTTATACATATTTCTCATATGTATAAATGACAATCTCTATACATTCAAAGCAGCCTGGACTACACAGTGAATTCTAAGAAAACCTAGGCTATAGTGTGAGCTCATGTCTCAACAAACAACAAGATGGAAACTACCTATTACAGCTAGTCTAGAATCACAACCCTCCTGCCGCCTCCTCCAAGGAACACAACTATACATCTTAACTTTATGTATCTTCCACGTAATAATGGAAAAGTTAAAAACTAAAGAGCAACCAGTAAAAGCAATAGTTCAGTCTAGATACAGATAAGCCAGTGGCCTTTAAGTCCTGGCAAAGAACAACCTCTGATCAGAGTAAAGTGGAAGTGTGCGGTACTCCAACTGTGGTTCTGTTCTTTCCAGTTTGAATGGCTGGCAGCTGGGACCTTCCGGCAGACTGTTTTCTCT